CTCTATCAGAATGCCCTATAATGCCACAATAGAAACAGAAAGATTGAATGTTTTCATACCTGAAATCCACCCACTTATTCTCCTCTCCTATTTTGATATGAGTGCCTCTAATGAGAGGTTCCTTAAGAGACAACTCAACCAAAACTTTCAGCACCTGTCCAAGGGTATTTCCTGTTCCAGGGGTCTGAACATTAATGAGCTTACCCAGCATTTTCCCTATCTTCACCCCTATTTCAAAAGACACCCATTGTAGAGGAAGATTATATATATGCACCCAAATTTTAATTTTTTCATCTTCCTCTCTAAATTCATTATTCTGAGGGTTCCAAGGTTTTAACAACATGTATTGCCCATCAAATGTCCAAGTTTTACCTTCAAGAATTCTATCTCTATCCTGCTCAGATTGGAACACAAATTGAAAGCAATTATCTCCTAGATTTCTAATAGAGAAAGGCTTCTTCGTAATCCAAATGTTCCCTAAAGTAGTTCTCAACCCATTAAAATTAGCCGACTTTTCCCCATAGATTTTCCCTAACAGACTTAACTGACAATCTCTCAAGCTAAGAGCTATATCATCTGTGACCAGTTCTAATCCCCCTTCTTCCTTAGAAGAAAGGCTGAATTTAAGCAACTTATCAGATATATCCTGTTCCATACCTCACCCAAATGCGACCAACAAATATGCCAAAATACCACAATAAGCAAACAAAGATAGCAGATTAAACACACAACAAAACGAGCGCACTTCGAAACAACAATACATGATAACAGCAGCATACGACAAAAGAGGACTGGGACCGCGAGGGCCGACACCAAAATAGGACAGCAAACTAGAACGAAGAACCCTAGACCTAGACCATCGCGAAACAACGGTGATGGAACTCAAAGATTGATGAAATGGAACCCATAACTACAAATCCTAAGAAGGAACTGAAACTCCACACAGAGACAAACCCTAGAGAGGGACTTTCCGCCTGAATATGAGGAAGTATTGATGAATGTTGGTTTATTAAAGCATATAAAAATTAAATAAATAAAACTTAGAGTTACTTCTAAAATTGATTTCAAAATAAAATCTTTAATAAGATGAATTATTGATGAATGTTTTTTTTAAGCATATAAAAATTAAAATATAACTAGGTAGTCATTCAAAAAAAAATTAAAAAAATAAGAAATCTCCGAAGATCCGAACCAAACCATGACGAACCGAACCGAAAAATAAAAATCTCCGAACCGAACCGAACCGACCTTATGGTACGGTTTCGCAGATCGAATTTTGGGATCTCCAAATTTTGGTACGGTTCCGGAAATTTATCAATTTCCGAATCGTACCGACCTACGCTCACCCCTAATATCTATATAATATATAAGAAAATTCATTGTGTAGTCCAAATTTGGGTTCCAAATTTAAAAGTCGAATAAGTAATTATTCATAACTTACGGTCAATATTAACTTGGTCGTAAATGGAATAGTCAATGATTTATAGTTTAATAAATTAGTCGACTACTTAAATTTTTTTATTTGGATAATTTATACAAAAATAAATTCATTTTAATTAATGGAACAATAAAATTTTTATAATTATACTTATTATTCACATAGATTTTTAAACATGCGATACAAGTTTACCAAAATAATTATTTTATTGAAGCACATTGTAGTCATATCGAATTTTTGAATAAAAAATTTTACAATGACACTTATTTTGAAGTGAATGTAATGTAATTTTAAATAAACATATTGTATGTAATTTTGCACAATTAAAATTTTATATAACATTTTCAATAAATTAATATAGTTAAATAGTATTGCATATAGATTTCATATTTTTTATTATGTGTTATTTAATAAGAATTTTTACTTTATAAATATTAACGAATAAACATCGCACGGGGTTGGTCCTAATTTCCTTCATCCCAAACCCTACACCCGCAGCTTCTCCCCAATCGGCCGTTCTTGGCCTCCTCCGGCGGCGGCAAGGCCGGATTTGCAGTTGTCGCTGGCCGCCCGTCCTTCTCAGGTAATTTTCCCCCTATTTTGTTGTCGTTGCTTCTCCTCGTTTCTCTCTCGGTCGCTGGCGAAGGTTGAGATGATGGTGGCTTCTGGTCGTTGTCTGGGGCCATCGGCGTGCGGCGATGTCGTGGGGTTCGGCTGGGAGTCCGTTGCCATCTTCTTCCTTGGTTGGTGACCTGATCCCTGTTGGTGCGGTTGGGAGTCGGAGGTGCAGTTTGGGTTTGGTTGGGT